CCGTTTTCATATCTGCTAACCCGTCATTATCGCTTTCTTTGTTAGAGCTTTTTCTTGTCGACAACTTCGATAATTGTGTCTGCTGCAAGCATCTGTTGTCTTGTTATTTTGATATTTCTTTTAGATAATTTCCATGCACTGAACTCTTTAGATTTTCTTTGTTGGTATCTACACGTTTAGTTAAAATATTATCCAAAAATCCTTGCGGATACGACTTCGTTACGTACTACATTCGACGATTTCGTGTATACTTGCACGTGTTGTCAGCACAGTTGTGAGAATGCAACAAGTTTTTGGCTCCGTTGCCGGGGATTTTTGCGATCTTGTTTTAACATTGATATTTGTAGATATGGTGCTTAATTGAGTTTTCTTTTTCTCACCTTTTTGTGTGGTTGTAGGTGCATGAACAATTTTGAGAGCTTGGATTATATTATCGACCACGAGATAGAATGCACATTTCATAGGAATCGACGAGAACAAAGAAGAACCCAAGCTGAAGCCCACCCAACCCAAATATGCGCCAACCTATTCTACCGAATGTGAGGATCGAGGAAATAGTAGATGGGGTTCCTGTTGCTGATGACCCTGAGGTAGCAGTGCCCCCTCTCAATGTTGTATTACTAGCAGATAACATCGACAGAGAAATCAGGGCGTATGCAGCACTATCATTTTATAATTTCAACCCAATAATCACGGAACCTGAAATTGCAGCCCCAAAGTTTGAACTAAAACCAATAATGTTTCAGATGCTCCAAATAGTGGGTCACAGACATCCTACTGAAGACCCGTATTCGCATATGAAGTTCTTTATGGGGGTATGCAATTCGTTTAAGGATGAAGGATTTAGCAAAGAAGTGTTGCGGCTTAAGTTGTTCCCCTATTCACTTAGAGATGAAGCCAAAACGTGGTTGGAGTCGCGGCCTTCAGAATCCATTACAAGTTGGGATGACTTGATCGAAAATTTCTTGATGAAGTACTTCCCACCCAGCAAGAACGCTAAGTACAGAAGCGATATTAACAACTTTTAGCAATTTGCTGTGGAGTTCGTGAGCGAGTCATGGGAGCATTTCAAGCGACTGCTTCAAAAATGCCCTCACCATGCAATTCCAAGGTGCATCCAGCTTGAAACATATTACAATGGATTGGATGGCGCTACGCGTTTGGTCATTGATGCCTCAGCAAATGGTGCATTGCTAGCAAAACCTTATGCTGAAGCATTCAATATCTTCAAGAGGATATCATTGAACAACCATTCATGGTCAGACCCTAGAACTATTCAAGGTAGAGGAGGTAAGAGACTTAATGAATCTGAATCATACTCTGCTTTGAACTCGAAAATTGAAAACTTGACAGATCTAGTGATGAGAAGCATGACACAGTGGGAACATTTGCTGGCAAGGCAAATGTTAGCCATATTCAGGGGATTTCTTGCTCCTTCTGCGAAGGAGATCATCATTGTAACAATTACCATTGCGATCCAGAGTCAGTTTACTATCTGGGGAATCCGCAGAACAGCAGAAACAACCCATATTCCAACACGTATAACCCCGGCTGGAGAAATCACCCCAATTTCAGTTGGAGTGGCAGTCAGGGAAGAAATAATGTTGGCACGTCCAATGGTCCAGCATGTCAGCAGAAAGGGAATTATCCCCCAGGATTTGCTAATCAAGGTTAGGTGGTAGCACAGAAGCCCACATAAGGAAAGATTGCTTCATTGGAAAAGTTGATGAAGCAATATATGGTCAATAATGACGCTACTGTGTAGAGCCAGGCCGCATCACTAAGAAATCTAGAGCTGCAAGTAGGCCAGTTAGCAACTGATTTGAAAAGCAGACCTTATGGAGCATTTCCAAGCGACACTGAAGTACCGAAGAAGGATGATAAGGAGCAATGTAAAGCTCTCACACTGCAAAGTGACAAAGCATTACCTCCGGCACACCCAAATGCTCCAACAGCGAACAAAGAGCCCACTCAAGTTGACCAAGGAAAAATTCAGCCAGAAAAAAGACAGTGAGCCAGCAGAAGATGTTGTACCGACTCCACCAGAAGAGATAAGTGAGCAACCAGAGGAAGTTCAGAATACGTTCACTCAATCAGTTAACCCAGTAATTGCTAAGGTACTTGAAGTAGGGTCAACACAGACCAGATTACTCGAGAAAAGAAATCAGGCAGAGCATGATAATGCTTGAGCAGAATACAGGCCATGCTTGAGCAGAATACAGGCCATCACCACCATATCCTAAACAGTTAAAGAAGAAAAAGCAGAATGTTCAATTTAAAAAGTTCTTAAATGTTTTGAAGCAATTGCATGTGAATATACCGTTGGTGGAAGCTCTAGAGCAAATACCAAATTATGTGAGATTCATGAGAGATACTCATAAATAAGAGAACGCTGAGAGAGTATGAAACTGTAGCAATGACCAGGGCTTGCAGCACCATACTCACAAGCAAAGTTCCTGCAATGATGAAATAACCTGGGAGTTTTACCATACCAGTTTCAATTGGAGGACAAAAAATAGGACTTGCCTTGTGCGATCTAGGTGCCAGCATCAATCTCGTTATCAATTTATAATAAGTTGGGCATTGGAGAAGCAAGACCCACAACAATAACATTGCAGCTGGCGGATCGATCCATCACGCATCCAAAGGGAAAAATTGAAGACATTTTGGTACAAGTCGATAATTTTAGTTTCCCTGCTGACTTTATTATTTTCGACTATGATGCAGATAAGAAAGTCCCTATTATCCTTGGAGGGCCATTCCTAGCAACTGGGAGAGCATGGGTAGCTGTTCACAAGGGAGAGTTGACAATGTGTGTGCAGGATCAAGAAGTTAAGTTCTCAGTGCATGATTCCATAAAGTTTCCTGCTGAATCAAAAGAATGCTCGGTGTTGAAGATTCTGGATGAAGCATTAATGGAGCAATTGGAAACAGAAGTTATGCTAGAGCATTTAGAAGCGGCTGACGTTGCAAGTGTTGTTGACGAAGTTGAAGAAGAACTAGAGGATATCCAGTTAGAATGCGTGAAGGCCAATGAAGGATTGGTGAAGAGAATGTATGGGTCCTTAAATCTCGCAAACCCTGAGCTTAGATTACTGAAGCCATTTATTGAAGAGCCGCCAGTGCTGGAGCTTAAACATTGCAACAGACTTGCCTTTGGATAAGGAGCAGATGTTGTTGAGTATACTTACGACACACCAAAGAGCAATTGGTTGGACTATCACTGATATCAAAGGGATAAGCCTCAGCTTTTGTATGCATAAGATAGTGCTAGAGGATGATTGCAATAACTCTATGGAGCCCCAGTGTAGACTAACTCCGGTTATGAAGGAGGTTGTGAAGAAGGAAATTATCAAGTGGTTAGACGCAGGCATCATATACCCAATTTCAAATAGCGAGTGGGTAAGTCCAGTGCTAGATGTGCCTAAGAAAGGGGGCATGACTATAGTGGACAATAAAAAAATTGAGTTGATACCCATAAAGACGGCAACCAGATGGCGTATATGTATGGACTACCGCAAGCTGAACAAAGCTACCAAGAAGGACCACTTCCCTCCCCCTTTCATTGATCAAATGCTGGACAGACTTGCAGGCCAGGAGTACTACTGTTTTCTAGATTGGTACTGTGGATATAATCAGATTACAATAGCCCTGCAAGATCAGCAGAAGACGACATTTACTTGCCCCTACGGAACGTTCACTTTCAGACGGATGCCATTCGGGCTTTTTAATGCCCTAGCAACGTTCCAGAGGTGTATGATGGCCATCTTTTCTGACTTCGTAGAATCAATAGTTGAGGTGTTTATGGACAACTTTTCAGTATTTGGAAAGTCATTTGCAGAATGCTTGGATAATTTGAAGAAGGTGCTGGAAAGATGTGAAGAAACAAACCTAGTATTGAACTGGGAAAAATGTCACTTTATGGTGCAGAAGGGGATTGTGCTAGGGTACAGAGTCTCAAGCAAGGGCATAGAAGTAGACAAAGTGAAGATAAAGGCAATAGAGAATTCGCCCCCACTGGTAAATGTCAAGGGCCTCCACAGTTTCCTGGGACATTCCGGTTTTTATCGCAGATTCATAGAGGATTTTTCGAAAATCTCTAAACATCTTTGTTCTTTATTTGAGAATGACAAAGAATTTAACTTCACATCTGACTGTTTGCAGGCGTTCGAAACACTGAAACATGCTCTCACCCATGCTCCGATAATGATAGCTCCAGATTGGAACCATCCCTTTGAATTAATGCATGATGCCAGCGACTATGTTGTGGGAGCAGTCCTTGCTCAACGCAAAGAAAAGCTGCTGCATCCGATATATTACGCCAGCAAAACTTTGATAGAGGTGCAGATCAACTACACCACCACGGAAAAATAATTATTAGTAGTGGTGTTTGCCTTTGAGAAGTTCAGGGCATATTTTGTAGGGTCAAGGGTGATTGTCTACACGGACCATGCAGCTTTGAAATACTTAGTGACGAAGAAGGATGCTAAACCGAGGCTAATCGGTTGGATTTTATTATTGCAAGAGTTCGATATAGAGATCAAGGACAAGAAAGGAACGGAAAACTTGGTTGCTGACCAAATGAAGAGGAGGAACCATAGTTCGTAGATCTAGCCAACTATATCGGTAGTGGAATTCTACCAGCAGACATGAACAAGCAACAACTAAAAAAGTTTCTGTACGAGAGTAAATTCTACCTGTGGGATGACCCATACCTTTATAGGATTGGCCAAGACAAAGTGATTAGGAGATGTGTTGCCAATGCTGAAGCACGACAGATATTGGCTAAATATCACTCCGCACCATATGGTGGACACTTTGAAGGGCAGCGCACAGTAGCAAAAGTTTTCCAGAGCGGATATTTTTGGCCCACCATTTTCAAGGATGCATACGAGTTAGTGCAGCATTGCAACAAATCTCAAAGAGTTGGAAATATTTCCAAGAGGTCAGAGATGTCTCTCACATACATCTTAGAGGTGGAGCTTTTTGATGTATAGGGCATGGATTTTATGAGACCATTCCCTCCATCCAATGGAAAACTCTTCATTTTGTTGGCAGTCGACTATGTATCAAAGTGGGTCGAGGCAGTGGCATGCGCCAGCAGTGATGCCAAAGTGGTTGCCAAATTTTTACACAAGCATATATTCACAAGGTTTGGCACACCCAGAGCTTTGATCAGTGACGAAGGCTCCCACTTCATTAACAAAGTTGTAGCATCTCTCCTTGCTAAGTATAATATCAAGCACAAAGTATCCACAACATATCACCCCCAACCAAACGGGCATGCGGAAATATCTAACTGGGAAATTAAGAGCATTTCGGAAAATGATGTTAATGCAAATCGAAAGCATTGGGCAATGAAGCTAGATGACGCAATATGGGCTTATTGCACAGCCTTCAAGACGCCTCTGGGCACGTTTCCATACAAATTGGTTTTTGGGAAACCCTGCCATCTTCCATTAGAGCTGGAGCATAAGGTCTACTAGGCTGTGAAAAAGCTAAATCTGGACTATGCTGCAATAGGGGATGTTCGCCGCTTACAATTGCTAGAGCTCGAGAAGTTTCACAGAGACACATATGACAATGCAAAATTATATAAGGAAAAGACGAAGCAATGGCACGATGCGAGAATCAATCCTAGGAAGTTTGAAAAAGGACAGCAAGTGTTGCTTTTCAATTCAAGACTCAAACTCTTGCCGGGAAAGCTTAAATCGAGATGCCCAGGCCCATTTTTGGTCTCACACGTATTTCTCCATGGTGCAGTTAAAGTGCAAGAAATGGATTCAGGAAGAGAATTTACAGTGAACGGGCAGAGGTTGAAGCATTTCTTTGGAGGAAGCGTGGTGAGAGATGCTGGAGCTCACCACTTTGCCACATATTAAGATATCAATGAAGGAATAAAGGGAGCACAATTTAATGCTTAATCATTTTTATTGCTCCAAAGCTTTAAATTAGAAGTTTAGGTATTTAGTTGTTCCGTCAACGTTTTTGAACTTTAATTCGTGTTAATTTTATTTTTAAAGGGGGAGCCATTAAGAATCAGGGTTGAGTGGACTACATTCAAAAGTTGGCCGCAGTAATGACGACGTGAAGTCGTTGACGCAAAACGATAAGGTAGGTGGGAGCGTTGGGACGTGGGAGGCATGCAGGTGTGTATTCATGGCAATTTCAACTCCCAAGGAGAGAGGTAAGTAATGATTTCGATTTTGGGGAAGAGATAGTAATTATCAAGATTTGGGGAATATTTTTTTTCAATTTTCGGGGGGAATTTTTCAATTGAAATTAATTAAAGAAAATCGTGGGAAGATATTTCTTAATGGCACACAACCATTTTATGTTTTCCTTTTAAGACCCACATCTCCTACGCTCTTCTCCCCCACTCTGTGCCATAACTGTCTCCTTCTTCCTTTTAAGTTCCCCAAAATTCTCTCCCTCCTTCCCAAGCGCCAAAACCCTAGCATCACCATGCCTAGATACAAGCATAAGTAAAATCGCAAGAGGGCATTGAAGCTGGAGCTCTCTGTCAGTTCAGGGTCAAGCGGCATGTTTAAGGAGGTCGCC